CATGATCGCTTAAGCATGTATCACGCATGGCACATAACTAACTGATCGAATATGTAATATTAGTAGAAAATAGTACTAAACTAATTTAGAAACAATGTTTTATAGCTCAGATCGTTATCATATAACTTCAGGCTGCCAAACATGCGAATATTTGCTCCCTAATTACGCAGAATTGGTCAGTATTTTGTAAAATTAACTTTACGCCGACTCTATTCTAGTTTGTAAAATATACAGCAGATGGGTCCAAAAAATTGGTGACGTATTTATAACCTGGCAAAATAAAAAAGAAACTCGTTTGCTTTTGTCACTTTGGTCTGACGCGCTAACTGTTTGGCCCACACTGAGGTAAAGTCTATGATACTCAGGTAATATAAATATCTCTTTGTTCCTCTCTGACTGTTTCAGTTTGCCTATATATAGGAATACATATTCGGCCAATTGGAATCGAAAATCCGTTTAAACAAGTTTGGGCAGGGTCAGTGATCAAAGACAATTAATGATGAGAATTTATTATTAATATTTTTCATTTAATCTATTTAATCATTTAATCGAGTGGCAATTATAAATGATAATCAGGTGGAAATGAATTGATTATTCTTGGCAATGTACGCATGCGTATCATCTATTTGGCTTTTTTTGTTAGGTTGATAGGTTCAAGTGTTCATCTGGGTCATACATTCTCATTACGCGATGATGATGATTATCCATTCTGATCTTATTCATAAATATCCAAATCAAGTTTCTTACCTTATTCATAATTATCCAAATCAAGATTCTTACCTTATTCATAATTATCCAAATCAAAATTCTGACCTTATTCATAAATATCCAAATCAAAATAGCGGATAAACTGTCCAAAGATCCAGTTTTTGTACCACTATTTTCGACCGTGTCAATCATTTGCAAGAACTGGATTATTTACATTATTTACACGCGCACTATTGTGCTAATCTTCCTAGTTTTTATCACAACCTTTCGGTCGTTGTGTCTTCTTGCCTTCATCAAGTGCTTGTCGATCAAGGTTCGAACTGAATCCTGTAGATTGTTCCCGTTCTGATGCCCATTTCTAAAAATTAACCTGAATATTCGAGAAATCTTATTAAAGAAAGATATGCGCTCTCCAGCAGGACAGATGAAAATAAAGTGATTATATATATATATATATATATAGATAGATAGATAGATAAAGTTAAATAGAAAAAGTTGTACGTTCAATGAAATCATTTCAGCGCCATTAACGTCATATCAACCAAATCACGTTCACATTATGTTTACCCCCCCACACACACGCTGCGTCATAAATTGACCTTTCCTTGTCTATTCCCAACATGTAAGCACACATAGACAAACTCACACATGTAGATGCAAGTTTGTTTGTAAAACAGTATGTATATATATAATTTGTGTCTGTGCATACAAGGACGAGAAAAAAGGCAAATCGACATTACTCTTTTCAACCAAGAGTTTTATTTAACGATTTTTCAATCATATTCTTTCATCCAAATTAAAAGTTGTTTGGCTTGAAATTAGCAAATTGTAAAGTTTTTGTTCTTTATCAAATTTGTTATCTTCTCTTGAAGGTTATCCGACCAGGCTTTATTGAAAACATCAATCTTTTGTCGGAAGTCCTCTGGACATTTTCTATATTTCACGATTCAAAATAGTCCAGACATGTTTAGTTGGATTCATATCAAGAGACTGACATGATAGCTTGTTTTTGGACGTGTCATTATCAATACAGTTTTAATGTATAACATGAGAGTCTATCTTCAACAAGTTGCGATTATATTTCTGTTCAATATTCACCGTCAGTTAATATGAGGCAATGTGTTTTCTTTTAAAATACCTATTTATTTTGATGGATTAATATTTCTTGTGCATCCCAGAAGTTTCGAACGACCAATACTGCAAATTGTTCAGCATACTCTATCGAGAAAACTTATCTTTTGATTTCAGGACGACAATTTATTATTCATCGCACCTCTCTCTCTCTCTCTCTCTCTATATATATATATATATATATATATATATATATATGATTGATGGGAAGAACCTGAAGTATGTGAAATCATTTACATATTTAGGAAGTAAGATGAATGCAAATGCATCTCTTGATAACGAAATAACAAATCCGATTGCTAATGCTTCAAGTGCATTCAGGAAGCTTCGCCATTGCCGATGGAATAAGAGAGGTATCAAATTGAACACCAACATACGGGTTTATAGAGCAGCCGTTTTGACCACACTGTTGTACGGCTCAGAATCCTGGACCTCATATAGGTCCCATATCAATCAGCTGGATGTCTTCCACAAAAGTTGTCTCCGCGCGATCTGTGGCTATAATTTTGACGATAGGGTGTCCAATGCTAATCTCGCAAAATGCAACATTGGTGGAATTGATGTAGACACAACTTATCTCGGCTGGTCACGTTGCAATAACGAGTAACGACAGAATGTCTAAGGTCATCATGTATAGACAGCTTGAGAGTGGACAAAGGACTGTTGGACGGCCGTGGCTCAGTTATAAAGACAAGCTAAAGAGTAACCTCTCAGCTGTCAATATGCCTCATATAAACTTCGAGTGCGTTGCACTGGATAGAAATAACTGGAAATATTTGTGCCAAAGTGGTATCAGAAATTTTGAAATTAGTCGTATTGACTGGCTACGAAAGACAACGGTGAAAAGTATCAGCAAATATTCTTGTTGCTATGCCCCAATATCCTCGCTGTTGCACAATATGTGGACTTGTATGGAGGTCACTAGAGGGAATGAAGGGTCACACACAACACAAACATAAAAACTGAATGAGGTTGTCGGAAACACATACGTCGAGAGAGTCCATTTAGTAAATTTATTTTTAATCTGATATTTTTATTACTTCAAACGTTACCTTTGGATACCTGGGTTTTAAATAGTCGCCCTGTTTTTTTTATTTTAAACAGTGTGTATTACGTCTAACCAGGAAGTGTGCATTCCTTAAGAGGAAAAAAGGAACCTTTCTGTGACGCTCTCTGTAGTCGAGCGGTCTGAGGCACGCCGAGTCAAACAGGGGCCAATCTTTCTTTGACATTTTTTCTTTCTTTCTTTCCTCATATACACACACATATATATATATATATATATATATATATATATATATATATATATATATATATATATATGTTATTTATATATATATATATATATATATATATATATATATATACGGTGTCCCAAAAGAAACGCCCAATCAGAAACCCATCTACATATATCTCGGTAGTCCATTGTAGAATTTTTTTACAATATGGATTGTCCGATCTACTTACTTACGTATACACAGTTTCTCTTTAATTAACCGGAATGAGTTTTGATAGACTTAAGTGACCGACACAAAAGCAAAAAGTTAACACGACAAAACAGCAGCTGGAGTTTTCTTATTGCTTTAAAAGAAGAGAGTACAAAGTAGGCGGAATGACAAATGACTCTCAGCTATTTTATAAAGCGGCTGATTGAACAACGTAAAATGTTTTACTCCGAATCTTTGGTTTTCTGACTTCATTGGCAGACTTTTGACGTTGCGTATCCTTTTGCGTTGGTCAAACTGGCAAGTCTGAATCGTACAAGTCTCTTACACATAAAAATGAATTTTCACGAACGTCAATTTGATCACTGAAGTCCGAAGGTGTTAAACTATGAAAGATTTTCGCACCTTAACGCCTTCTTCCTTTGTGTCACAATTATAAAAACAAAAAACAAAACAAAACAAAACAAAAAACAAAGCAAAAAAAAAACAAACAAAACAAAAACTGTCCCACTATCTTCAGCTACTTGCCGGTGGTAGGAAACTTGAAACGGTTGAACTTTGAAATCATGGCACATTCGACAAATACTCTTGCGCGGACATTTTTGGAATTGCGACGGCAAAGATGAAAAGAGTTGGAGTGGATGAATGCTAAAAATTTGTAAAGTATAGAAAAGAGGGGGAGAAAAATAAGAAAGAGTGAGAGAGAAGAGATAAAGAGAAATTGTTAGCAACGAGAGAGATGGAAGATATGTATCTCGTATGTACAGTAGGCGAATAAGAAAGAAAGAAAACGAAAAAATATTAAGAACATCTGTGTGAGAAAGTAAATTGTACGTTTATTTCTTACGTATAAGCGCGTTAGAAAAAGGAAAGAAAGAAACAAAGAAACAAAGCGAGGAGAAACTGATAGAGTTAGTAGTGTGTATAATATACTAGGTGGGCCAAAAAGTTAATTTATAACATTCTTCTTCTTTATGTGCTGTGTGCTGTCATGGCTCTCCACAACTTCCTGTCGTTGTAGCACTTAATAAATTTCGTCCTTCTGTTCTTTCTCCTAAATTGTGTTCCGCCATCCATTTACTCAAGCTAAGTATGTTATATGTTTTTTTCTCTGTCACTTTTCCCTTCAAACTGTTCTAGGAGTATCATATTTTCCAAGCCCTCTTTTCTTGTTATGTGCCCTAGAAATTTCAACCTTATTAAATCGCTTGTGGTTGTATTGTGACAACATAAATTTTTAAAGTGTCGAAATTGGTATGTTTATTGATTGTAACATTATGATGGAACAAAATAAGCAAATTGTTCAGTATATTATAAAAGAACGATAACAAAAACACCTTTCCCATAGACTCATAAATATTTGTTTAATTTATTTGCGAATGATTTAATTGTCTCCTTTTAGATGATTTTTTGAATGAGATCGACAGCAATCAAATCTTAACTTGATTAATTGATTCGTTTTTAACGGTTCACCAACCCATTAGTTATTTAAAGCCAGAAAATACTTTTAGATTGTTAGAATTTTTTTTGAGATAATAATGGTTTAGTAATAGTATTCTTACTAATTAACCTATAGCTGGGGGAGAAGAGGTGGATTCATATTTTTCCCGATAATATTTGTGCGTAAGTGAATATAACAAACCTAATAGGAATTGGAACTCATCTCTCCGATTAACAGTCCTGAGGTATTATCTACTACACCACCGCACATCCAAGCTTACAGCACCTGGGATTCCGAAGCGGTCACCCATTTAGGTACTAACCAGGATCGACGTTTCTTCAATTCGGTAGTCGTACAGGAACAGGTGTTTCAACGTGCTGTGGCCGTAAGCCAAAAATCTTAACTTGAGATTAATCAATTTTATATTAGGTTGAGCCATAATTATGATGACGAATATCTCATCTTAACTACTAATTATACGTGGCTAAATTTGGAGTGGACTAACATATGAAAATTTCCAACGCAAAAGCAGTGAGTTGACAAGAATAAATCTTTACAAACGACCTCCAAAATTTAAGCCCCAGCAGTTGCAACTTGGAACACTAGAGATTGCGAAGAAATCAAAACGAACAACCACTAACCGTAGCAGGAATCGTTCTTTATCCAAAGATACAAAAGGAGGTGGATATGGCGGGACTGAAAGATGGTAAAATAATACGCACCCCAACAAATGATCCAAAAATTAAGAAATATATCTATCCCTATGTATAATACGCATCTATAAATTTTTGTCAAAAAAAATATAATTACCAAGTCATTTTGTCGACCTTGACATTAAGAATAAAATCGAAACTAAGCGGCTAAAATAATGTTTTACTGCTGGTAGCAACAAGAAAAAAACAGAGTTAGAACTTATTGCAAAATGGATTCAGGTTCCGTCAGTGAGAATGTTATAAAGAGAGGTTTTAAGAAGTGTTGTCTCATGACAGCCATGGATTGCTCTGAAGATGACATCCTTTGGCAAGAGAATGAAGGGACTGAAGATAATTTTGAAAAGGATGAAGATAATATTATTAATGATAATCTGTTTAATGGCAATTTAGATATTGATTATATAATAGAAATGGTGATGATGATGATGATGATGAAAATTAAAATTTCAATAAATTGTTAACTTGATATCCTCTTTTCTTCGAAACTGGCCTTTTTATAGATTTTTTTTTATTTTTTTCGCTAAATAAAAAATGGGGTTACTGATAAACATAAATTTATTGACAAAAAATGTTACAATTATTATTGTTGGATTTAAAATGAAAATTGGGATAATATCTTTCTTATTTTAGAACAACAATTGCGTATTTATTATTATAAATCAATAACGAAAAAAATGTTTTTGTTTAAACCTATTTATAATACACACTCCTAATATCACATGTAATTTACAGTAAAGAAAATGCGTATTATTTTCGAGAAATTACGGTAATACGAAAAAATGTACAGTAATGTCTCCGTCGAGACGAGAGAATGTCTTTAACTTTTATTTCATAAACTAGCCAACCAATACATTATTTGGTACGTGCAAGCCTTTGAGAAGGAAAATATAGAAAGAAAAAAGATCAACGTTTATAAACAATTATTTATGACTCCAGTCATCATCATCATCATCACAACATCATTCTCATGACTGGGTGTGGTCGTTTGTTTACTACGCGTCTAAGCACCTGGCCAGCCCCACTCCACATGTCTTGGTAAGTTTTCATTCATGCGTGTCATATGCAAATATTGTCTGTATCGTAGGCAAGGTTATAGTCAATAAAGTTTGATTACAATTGTGAAATTTTCACCCGGATCTGTAAAAGCTTATTCGAAAATTGTAAAAATGCAATAAAATTTAAACAGGAGGGCAATTTTGGTTGTATTTAATACACCTTTTATATATTTATATATATATATATATATATATATATATATATATATATATATATATATATATATTAAAGACCACCACAAAAACGCGCTACCTAAGTTTTAGAATGAATTTTTAAAAATAAAAAATATTTCGTGAAGCTTTTATTTTAGTTTCAATTTCAAGCTAATAGATTAAATGTAATATTTCCAATAAGCAAAATACTTTGTTGGATTTCAAGAACTAATTTAAAGTGACTGGAATTATCTTTTTATTTTTTTTTATTTATTTATTTTTTTTTTTTTGCTAAAATAGCTGATTTGCGCCCTTTTTTGGTAGTTTTTCATCGCAATGTAATTCTCTTTATTAAAAAATCATACAAAAATGGAACATACATTTCTGAAATCTTATTCGAGGAATATTTAAAGTAAATTAATCTGATTCGAAACAAATACTATAATTTACATTAGTTTAAAATATCGCAGAAATGCGTTTTTGACCGAAAAGTAGCTGTGTATTTAATCCAACACTAGTTGTGTTGACATGTACATGTGTGATCCGGCCTTTTAAACGGGGTTATTTGTTAGCAGCAAGTAAAAATTGGACTCTGAATTGTAATTTGAATCTCTTTTAAAAAGAGCATCAAAATATTTACTGATGTCTGTAGAAATACAGTTGTGCTATAGGCAAATAAAAAAAAATGTGTGATAAAAAGGCCGTGTAATAAAGATACATCTGTTTTTCCCTTCTGAAAATATTGATGTGACACTATGATTATGACACACATAAAAGAGGAAGGTATAATTTTATATCGATCTCAATTGTTTTTGTTTTATGGCCAGCGGATGAGGTTTTTGAAGTCGAGTTTTCTAAGTGGCACCACTTGACCGAAGAGGAACAAAAGAACAAATATGTAAAAGAAATCATTTCAGGTCAAGTGACAACAAGACCTGACATTGGTGCTTTCCATTTGTTGATCTGTATTAACAGTTACGGTTGGTGTCGATGAGGTCAGTTTTAGTTTACCTTTGGCTGGGTGGGGGTTTGGGGTAGTTCCGATATCACCTGTTCGTATTTTCAGCCACACACCGTAGCGTGTAGATGAGAAGAGAGCTGGTCGAAGGGGGAAGTGTTGCAATGGCAAAAGTTTTCCTAAGTGTTACTTATGTATTCAGCTAAAATAAAACATCAGTGTTTTATTGTGGAAACAAAGTTCGCGTTTTCATTACTCGGCGTGGTGTAAGTTTCCCCGTGAACATACTGTGGGCTTTCCCCAGTTTTGGTGCCTACGAGAGTCGAGACGAAATATGCGGTAGTCATTAGCCGGTCGGTGGATAGCTAAGTGAGGCCTTCGTTTTATGTTTATATTGATAGTATTAGGTGAATAACTATATAGAAAACAATGCTTGAAATTAACAGTTTGAATGGAAACTGTGCATACAGTATTAATCATTGTCAACACTTGGCTTGCAAAATATTCTGTTGATTGGGATTTAATACAACCAACACGGAATAACTTTGTGATTTTTAATGTTTTCTGCTATTTTTCAACTTTCATTGTTTTTATTTAAAATATTGTTTGTTATAAAAATATTATTCATATACGTATTCATAGTCTTTTACGAGTTTATATTAAAAAGTTCCAAGGCTATTCGTACTGTTATTGTAGCTTTTGACGGAAATGCGTACGCTGCGAACGCTCATTGACTGAGTCAGTCTGTCAATAGGTTTCGAGGCGAGCTAGAGGTACTCGTCTGGATTCAGGTCCCGAAATCTAAGCAAATTGATATAATGGAATATGCATACACCTGAGTTCCCTCTCACTGGAATATGATTGGCTGGTGTCCGTCATAAATACAGACGGACATGTAGGTACGACAGAGTTTAATTCTATGACGACGCCTATTGGACGACGCCATTGGTTATCCTATTGGTCTACACCTATTACCTGCGACTACGACGAGTACCAGTCGATTACTGCTACCGTGTACTACTTGGTTACAGTAGCCAAACCCACTTAGCTACTTCGATCAAATATATCCCTTTCCGGTACATATCACAGATATAAGATGATTTTTGGAAGGGCTTCTTAATTAGATGAGAATTTTTCAGCACTCCATGTATTATGCGAGTTTTTTTTTAGCACTGTGTTGGAACGGCTTTGCAATCTTTACGGTGACTGACAAATTAGAACAATATTCCAGCATCAAATTTTACGAGGTACTCAGCAAATCTGCTACGAAGACACTCGAAATATTTCGCCGGGCTTTTGGCAGACACGCTTTAGGTCGAACACAGGTATTTGAGTGTCATGTGTATTTAATATCTGATCGAGTGTAGTTCAAGCTTATGAGCGCACGGAAGGACTAAAAGCGCCAGAAAATGTGAGAAAATCTCGTAAACTCGTCCATGAAGAACGTCTCCGAACAATCCATTTGCTGTCTAACATGAATAGGATCAGTTATGAAGTCTGATGGATATTGTTACGGGGAAACCTGAACATGCATCGGGTTGCTGTGAATTATGTCCTCCCGCTCTTGGCTCTCAATCAAAAGCAATGGCTTCTTGAGTTCCTTGAGCTTCGTGAGACGGCACCTAATTTTCATTTCTATTATCATCACAGGCAATGATAGATGAATTTATGGTTACGATCCGGGGACAAAGCAGCAGTCACATCGGAGGAAGAGCCCGGTATCACTAAGAGCCAAGAAAGGGCGATAGGTCCGAAGAACAGCAGTTTGATGACATCATTCCCAAGGGGACTAATTCGAAGGGGAACGTGTCCAAAATTGACCAAAATATGAAATTCCATATACCAACTTGTACATGCCTACAGAGTAAATTTAATTTCTGCACTCTAATCACGAGCTTTTTGTAAGACATTTGTCGTCATAAACCATGTTAGTCACATAATTGTGATATGTTAGGTTGTTCGAACCGTAATATCACATTTGTAGAAAGGGAATAAAATCCCGTTCAAATACCTTGAACGTTATTAATAATTAAAAAAGTTGGGAACTAATTATTTTATTTCTGATTGAGAGAATTTGAGATTTTGGGAGACAAAAAAAAATTGTCAATAGCTAAGCCAAAAGTCCACTCCTGTAAAGTATTGATGTTTTTTTCCTTCTTCTGTGTGTCGTGTCCCTTGAGGATGTGAGCGATAATGGTTTTCCACAACTTCCTCTCCTTTGTCGCTTTTAGCAATGGTTGTCATTTTGCTATCATTTCCTCTCTCTGTTCTGCCATCTATTTACACAAGCTTGTTAGGTTTTTTGATTGATTGATGTGTTTGTTCAACGGCATATCAACTCCTTATGGGTCATTTAATGCCGAAAATCAGTTTTCTTGTGAGCTTTGAAGTAATAAAAATATCATTTTGTTTTCACAACTGAATACATGGTAGATGATAATCAGCTTTTGTGCATATATATGTTTGTGTGGATATAATTACGAGAGGTGGTGATATTTGTGTTTTATGTT